CGCGACACCTTAAAGACCGGTCCGTGAAAATATTGTCGGTCACAAACCGGTCCGTGGCGCAAAAAAAAAGGTTGGGGACCGCTGATATAAAGGACAGCATAAAGACGCCAACAATATTAATCTCTGTCTTAAAGTGCTGAATGAGTGTGGGGAGAATATCCCAAGATTTGTCTCTCATCACCTGGATGATTTGCCGCCTGTTACATACTCCAGCATGGATGTGTGTTGTCTACTACAGCGAATGGACCAGCTGTGTGCTGAGGTGGGTGCTTTAAAACATGTAGTTAAACTACAGGCGGATGTCTGCGAGCAAGTTATGACCAATGCTGTGGAGGTCGACCAACGTGTGACTGCTCTTGAGTGTCGGCCTGAGGTACCGGCTGAGCCTGTTACACTGAATGGGGTCGGGGACCGCTTCCCACTTTCCCCTGGGGCAGGGGTCGGCAACCCGCGACTCCGGAGCCGCATGTGGCTCTTTAGTCTTTATTTTGCGGCTCCGGGTGGTTTGGGAAAATAAATTAGTATTTAGGTATTTAGCTGAAGTGTATTTTATTTGTGTTTAGTTCTTTTTTTTAACTTGTAGTTCTAAATTGGAAGATTATTGTGATTTTGAAATATAAAAATAAAATTATATCTTATTATTTTTTCATCGCTCAAAATAAGCGTCACACTCGCAGAAGCGGTGTACCCCCCGAAACGCCACACAAAACAAAGAAAAAAAACAAAGAAACAGTACCTTTGCCCCTCCTGAAATGGGGTGTGATGAACTCACGGGTAGGCGAAGCTTTTACCTACAGCCCGCTGAAGCAGGGTGAACATCCGGAGCGTCGTCTGGGTGGCAGGGTACTCCAAACACCGCCGGCGTTGAGGCCCAAAATGGCGGTCCCGCGGGCTATCGGAGCTACGGCAATCCCCAGGCCGGGCAAAGCGAGGCCGCCCAATTCCTCTCTCGGAAACTCGCTGGTCCTTCGCCAGACAGCCGGCCGTGCTGTCTCGCTTTCTAAACGTTCTTCACCGTCAAACTCTACCGGTAACGCCGGGAAACTGAGGCAGATTGGAGGGGAGCGGCCGCTAGCCCTTAGCTCTCGATTAGCCCCTCGGCTAGCGCTATCTCCGCCGACGCTTCGCCCCGACGCTGCACCCGTAAGGCCGCTGTAGCCAGAGTCAGAGTTCATACACGGACGGAAACCCAGCCTGGACTCGCTGCGGTACCGTACACTGTCTCGCTAACCCCTCGTTTACACTTTGTTCGGGTCTTTCCTAGCGTCCTCTCTCGTCCGGACACGTGTGTTTTGTTTTGCTCCGCTCGTCTTCTCTCCCACTGCGCATGCCCGTCCTCTTCACGCTACGTCACTCCCTCTTGGCTGCTTCAGGCTGTAAACAACCCCGTGACCGTTTTCTAAGGGTCGTAAATATGTGCCCTCACATTTCCCCCCAGCTAAACCCTGCCACACCAGCGACGACTCAAGCAGTTCATCCCTGTAACAAACACAGAATAACACATATTAACCCACATGTTCAGTAACACTCTATACCATTCACATATGACTCACATTACATTGCAAATGAGCATAACAGCAATCCATGGCTTCATTTCGTAACATAATCTCTATACCTCACAGGAGGTACCCCTCGGGTTCGCCTCAAAGGGCGTTCAAACTGCAAAACCTCCCCTCGCCCCTCGTGCACCTCATCGCTCGCCTCTGAGGCCTCATCGCTCTCCTCTGGCTCACTTAGGGCCATAACTGGTTGTACCTCCCCCGCTAAATCCGGCTCCAACCCCTGGGCGACACAGTTGCCAACCTCGTCCGCCCCTGGGGCAACGAGAGCGCTCGGGTTCGACCCACAGGGGAGTGGTGGAACACAAACAACCTCCATGAAGTCTGTATCGGACTCCACTTCGGCTGGCAACCTATTGGCCTGCTTCAGCCGCCATGTCGGCGCTTGGAAGGTGCACAATTTGAGCTGATCCCTATGCACAACCCTCGTCGAGCCACCCTTCTCTGGCTTGACCGTGAACACAGGAATGTCAGGGTGGTTCTGTTTCACCACCAAATAAGGGTTGGGTTCCCATTTGTCCTGGATCTTATTCCTGCCTCTGGGTTTGTGGTTGCGCAACAGCACCCGATCACCGGACTGAAGCAGGGCGCCGCGGGACTTCCGGTCGTAGATCCTCTTCCTCTTCCTAGAAGCCTCCTGAGTAGCCGAGCTTGCTACCTCCACCGCGGTCCTAAGCCTCTCGTGGTGGTCCCGGACCCAGTCGTCCAGATTGTCCGCCTCTGGTTCCCTCATGTCTTTCCCTCCCAGGAGGTCCAAGGGCATCCTGGCGTCCCTCCCGAACAGGAGATAGAAGGGCGCATAACCCGTGGAAGAGTGCTCACGAGAGTTATAGGCCATAACCAACTCTGGCAAGTACGTTTTCCAATCCCGCTTCTTCTCTGGTGGCAGTGTCCTGAGCATGTCGTGCATGGTCCTATTAAACCTCTCACACTGCGCGTTCCCCTGCGGATGGTAAGGGCTGGTGCGACTCTTGGCAATCCCATAGGCCCTGCACAGCTCTTTTATAACACTAGCCTCGAAGCTCCTCCCCTGATCGGAGTGCAACCGGGCCGGGCACCCGTAATAGGTAAACCAATGTTTCAGCAAAGCATTTGCTGTCGTCTCAGCAGTTTGGTTTCTGGTGGGGACGGCAACGGTGAACCTGGTGAACATGTCTGTAAGGACAAGGACATTTTCGTATCCCCCACAAGACTTTTCTAGCACCGTATAGTCCATAGCAAGGACCTCCAGGGGTGCGGTGACATTGCTGCAGGTCATGGGGGCCCTGTGGTTGGGAAAGACATCCTTTGCCAATGCGCACCGCCTGCATTGCTGAACCCAATCTTGAACATCTCTACTCATGGTAGGCCAGTAATAGCTCCTTCTCAGCACCGCGAGGGTGCTCTTTGCACTGAAATGCCCCCCATGCTCATGCTGGTTCTCATATACCTTACGTTGTAAGGCCCCTGGGACAATGAGCTGCCTGATCTCCTCCCCATCACGAGGGTCACTGACATGCCTATACAGTACACCCTTATAAAGCCTAAGGCGGTCAAGCTGTTGGTGAAGCCGCCTCGCGTCCGGTGTTAACGCGTGGAGATCGGCATGGCTCATCTCCGTGCCCCTCTCAACCACCCGATACACGGGCCCGACGACCGGATCGTTTTTCTGAGCCACTTCGACCTCCTCCCAGCTGTGCCCACCGAGAGCTTTCCCAGCAGTCGCTTGCACTCTGGCTTTCAGATCAGCCCTACCATCCTCCTCCAACCTAGCAGGCCACAGACACGCACGCACTTCTTCCGGGCCCACCTTGATAAAGTCCTTGCCCGTGTCCTCCTGCTCAGGTTCCTCTTGGTCAGGGATTCTGGAGAGGACGTCTGCATTCGTGTTTTGCCGCCCGGGCTTGTAACACACCTCAAAGTCATACTCAGCGAGTTGTGCTACCCACCGCTGTTCGACAGCCCCCAGGTTAGCCGTTGCCAGGTAGCGCAGCGGGTTATGGTCCGTGACTACCGTGAATCTGGCGTACATCAGGTAGTCCCTGAATTTCTCGGTAACAGCCCATTTAAGCGCCAGAAGTTCCAGTTTAAATGCGCTGTAATTCTTGTCATTCTTCTCGGAGCCTCTCAGCCCCCGACTCGCGTAGGCTACCACACGCTCTACGCCCTCCTGTTTTTGACTGAGCACAGCTCCGAGTCCGTGCAGACTCCCATCTGTGGTCAATATAAAGGGTAGGCCAAAGTTGGGATAGGCCAGGATTGGAGGGGACACCAGGCACCGTTTCAGCTCGTCCAGTGCCTCCTGGCACTCACTGGTCCAAACAAACGTCTGGGTGCCCCTCGACGTGTTTTTCAACCCTTTCCCAACCAGGGCATGCAGAGGCTTGGCCAACTGTGCAAACCTTGGCACAAACCGCCTGTAGTAGCTCATGAATCCAAGCACCTGCCTCACCTCTCGCACGCTCCTTGGAGCCGGCCATGCCTCCAGGGCCTTGACCTTTTCTTGATCTACCTGGACGCCTTTAGCAGAAATCACGTGGCCAAGGAATTTAACCTCCGGCCGCAGAAGGAAGCATTTGGTCGGCTTCAACTTCAACCCGTGCTGCTTCAAACGTTCGAACACTGTCTCAAGCCTCTCGCAGTGACTGTCAAAGTCCCGGGAGAAGACTATAATGTCATCCAGGTAGACAAGGAGTATATCAAAACTGAGGTCCCCCAGTACCATACCCATCAGCCGCTGAAAAGTGGCTGGGGCGTTGCACAAGCCAAATGGCATCCGAGTCCATTCAAACAAGCCAAATGGTGTTGTAACCGCCGTTTTTCCCCTGTCCCTTTCGCTCATGGCCACTTGGAAGTAGCCTGCGGTCAGGTCCAGGGTCGAGAATAACAGCGCATTGCCAAGCGCATCCAACGACTCTTCGATGCGGGGAAGTGGGTAGGCATCTTTGCACGTCACTTCGTTCAGCCGCCTGTAATCGCAGCAGAATCGAACACTTCCATCTTTCTTAATAACCACCACCGCAGGTGAGGCCCATGGACTGGAGCTCTCTTTAAGGATCCCCTGGCTAACGAGCTCCTGAACATGCCTCTTAAACTCTTGAAAGACATGGGGTGGGACCCTTCGGTGCCTCTGTTTGATTGGGGGTGCCTCGGTGGGGATACTGTGTGTCACCGTGGTGGTGTAGCCGTAATCGACTTCGCTTGCCGAGAATACGTCTTGGTGTTGGGCTAACAGCCGACAAAGCTTTTGACGCTGTAGCTCCGTGAGGTCCCGGGTGTTAGCCTGTACAGGGACCGGCAACTGCCCAACCTCGCCCCCTGTCGCTATACTCTCACCCTGACCCAGCGGCTTAACCACGAGTGCCCCCTCTCTCTCCTCTACCCGTACAACCTCTTTGGGGAGCACAGCTCGTGGTTTGCTTACAACGGCAAGCCTGGCTCTTGGCATCAGCTTGACAGCCCTCTCGCTTGTGTTCATCACTCTGAGAGGGATTCTTCCACCACTGGTTGTCGCAATAGTGTTGGCAACTAACAGTCCCCGCGGCAGCTCTATCTCTTTTGCCGCCTCTGCCAGCACTTGGCACTCAACCCTAGGTGAGACCCCGCAACGGCCCTCCACCACTTTCTCGCTCCTCGGGGGGATGATAACGGGTTCCCTGCCGGCCACCTTGACGAACCCGATTTTGCCCCCCGGACCCGTGCGCGGGAACTCCTTCCTCGCTCGGGCTATCAACCGACGGATGGTGGCCTCTGTCTCGCCTGGAGCGTGGGGATCCATGTGGACGCGACCCCCGTCTGCGATAAAGAGCGCTTCGAGGTCTTCTATAACATTCATCCCCACGATCCCTGGGAGCCCATTAGCTTTGTCTACCTGAGGGTGAGTGTCGGTGAGTACAAAAATGCACTTCTTACCAACCACTCTCCCGGCGCATTCAACCTCGGCCTCCAAGCAGCCCAAGACAGGAATATCGAGCCCGTTTGCGGCTGTGAGCTCAATCCAGTCTGCTGACTTCAACTCCTGTGGCCCAAAACACCTACGGAAATGGGACTCCGTAATAGCCGTCACATTTGACCCCGTGTCCCAGAGGCAGGTGGTGTCTCACCCCCCCTATCTTAAGGTGGACTGTGCGACACCTCCCAAGAGCACTCCTTTGGAGGCTCTCCTCCACCTCTGTCAGAAGACACTCGGCTGCTTGGCGCCCTATGGCCGGTGTGGTGGGGTGTTTCTTGGCCCCACCCTTGGCGTTTGGATTGCCAGAAAATGCCACCTGCGCCGGGTCTATGGGAATAGGGGCCAGAGCCCCTGCGTCTAGCTTTTTGGTACAATGCCGGCTAGTGTGGCCAGGCTCCCCACAGCTGTAGCAAATATATCGCCCTTCGCCGTCCCTCAGGGGTGTTCGCCTGCGCTGTGCACTCTGCTGGCTGCTCCCTCTTTCCCTGCTCTGTAGTGCTAAGTACAGCTCTTCTTGACGAGCAGCTAGTTTCCTAACCTCCTCGTGGAGCATCTCCAGGGTGAGGGGGGATGGTTTATCTTCGGCCGGTACTGCAGCGTTCACCGCACCTCTAGTTCTGAGCCTACTTTGGGAGGCGAGAGAGGACTGGGCTTCTTCTTCCTCGGACCAGTCAACTGCGGCTTGCAGCAGCCCGATGAAGGTTAGGCCTTTCTCCTCCTTGACCCTCCTTTTCATCTCTCGCCTCAAAAGGTCATCCCGCAAGCCCAGCACTAGCTGTTCCTTCAACACTGTCTCTGAGTCGGGAACGCGGTTGGGTTCTCGCCTCTTAATCAAAGCCAGCTTCTCCTGTAGGTCATAGGCATAAGTTCTGACCGTCTCGCTGGACATCTGCCTTCTCTCATAGAACTCCTTCAACCTGGTACCTATGGGGACCTTGTCTCCATAGGTTTGAAGGAGAACCTCAAATATGCCCTCGACGGACTCTCCTGCCCCATCCAACATGAACTTAACAGTTGCCCTGGCCTCATCTTTTATGTGTTGTTTGACCAGCTCTACACGGTCCGCCTCTGGCACCTTCATGACTTGGAACGCAGACCGCATTGCCGCGATCCACTCTTCCACACAATCATCTCCACTCTTTCCAGGGCAACCACTAAAATCTGCCAGTTTGCGGTCTCGGTGGACATAGATTGCCGCCGGGGCTTTTAAAGCTTGGGCCTGTTGATCAATCACTGCCCTTGCGAGAGAAAGAGCTTCTCTCTGTTCTTCTCGTGCCTGCTGTAAGGCACCTGCCTGCTCCGCAAGCCTCCCCTGTAGTTCATCAAAGCTCCTTTTCAAATCTTCTAGTTCAGACATGTTTGCCTTAACTCTATTCCTCCTCTATAACGACCCCGAGCCAATGGGTGAATCCTGTTCGTGACGCCAATTGTGAGGGGCTACTAGCCCGGCTATGTAGGGGTAGAGGGGCGCACAGGCTGCCTTGAACGACTAGCGGGTGGTCGGATCTAAGTCCGTAACCCCCTCTAGCACAATTGACCCGGACACTTACTTCTGTAAGAATGGGGTTAGTTACCTGGTAACAGTAGGCACAAAAGGAAGACTCCAGGCTCGGACCTGCAATGATAGCAGCACCTGCACATGGAATACTAGCACGGTCCCACTTAACTCCGTCGTCCTGTGCCTAACCAAATAACTCGGGTGCCCCTACTCCAAGGCAACCTGGGTGGGACAAAAGCAATCAACAACGACCTTTTAAGCAACGTGGCTCCTTATATTTGTCTAGAGAGCCCTCAAAAAAAAAAACCCAAACTTGGTTAACAATGTCCACAGGGCTCTGGAGAGCAAAGGGAAAACAGCAAGGAGCCTCCCCAGGACCAAAGAAATGAAAGAAATAAAATGAGGTAAAATAAATCAAAACAGGCTGGTGAGACCCAGTGTTGGGAGTCCTCGACTCCGCACAACCCACCCTAGTCACAGGAAAAGCACTCACAATACAGAAGAACAGTAAAGGTTAACACAGCAATTATCCTGTCTAGAATTGTTGACACAATCTCATCGCATCATTTACAATGTCAGACACACCAAATGAACATTTCCAGTCTTTACAGTTTAATCCAGTAAATTGTCTCTGGGGTGGGACGGATAGATAGTTCAAGGGGTAGGTGTCGTGAACCGGAGTTACAGTCTGCTAGGCTGTCCAGAACTTCCACAGCCGGAATAGAATGTCCATTCTCCGGTCCACACAAAACAAGGAAATAAAACACAGAAACTGTACCTTCGCCCCTCCTGAAATGGAGCGTGATGAACCCACGGGTAGGTGAAGCTTTTACATACAGCCAGCTGAAGCAGGGTGAACAACCGGAGCGTCGTCTGGGTGGCAGGGTACTCCAAACACCGCCGACGTTGAGGCCCAAAATGGCGGTCCCGCGGGCTATCGGAGCTACGGCAGTCCCCAGGCCGTGCGAAGCGAGGCCGCCCAATTCTTCTCCCGGAAACTCGCTGGTCCTTCGCCAGACAGCCAGCCGTGCTGTTTCGCTTTCTGAACGTTCTTAACCGCCAAACTCTACCGGTAACGCCAGGAAACTGAGGCAGATTGGAGGGGAGCGGCCGCTAGCCTTAGCTCTCGATTAGCCCCTCTGCTAGCGCTATCTCCGCCGACACTTCGTCCCGGCGATGCACCCGTAAGGCCGCTGTAGCCGGAGTCAGAGTTCATACATGGGCGGAAACCCAGCCTAGACTTGCTGCGGTACCGTACACTGTCTCGCTAACCTCCTGTTTACACTTTGTTCGGGTCTTTCCCTGACCGCGGCCCTTTCCTAGCGTCTTCTCTTGTCCGGACACGTGTGCTTTGTTTTGCTCCGCTCATCTTCTTTCTCACTGCGCATGCCCGTCCTCTTCACGCGACGTCGCTTCCTCTTGGCTGATTCAGGCTGTAAACAACCCTGTGACCATTTTCTAAGGGTCGTAAATATGTGCCCTCACACTGACATTAGGTTACACACAGGTGCACTGTTTAGTCATTAGAAGGACTGCACTCAGACCAAAGGGGGGCTGAATAATTACGCACACCCCACTTTGCAGTTATTTATTTGTAAAAAATGTTTGGAATCATGTATGATTTTCGTTCCACTTCTCACGTGTGCACCACTTTGTGTTGGTCTTTCACGTGGAATTCCAATATTGATTCATGTTTGTGGCTGTAATGTGACAAAATGTGGAAAAGTTCAAGGGGGCCGAATACTTTTGCAAGCCACTGTATATTACCATTTTTCCACCAGAATGTCTTTGGGAATGAGATTGCGCGCCAGAATAGAAGGAAAACAAACTAAATATAAGGCACTAAGGCTCATTAAATGGCTGCAGAAGAAACACCTGCTAAAAAAGAAGCTTAGATGTCCTGTTTGTCACCACTATAAGATGAAAATGATTTCCGTGGTTAAGAAAGAATTTATAATGCATGATAATGTAGTGCATGTAGTAAATATAACAAAATAGTTCTATATTATCAAGGCAAGAGGCAGCATTAACCCCTTTTCCTTTATTATTATTTTCTTCATATTTAATTTTGTGATTATCTTTTCAAATAATGTTGATGTTTAAGGGTCCAATTTACTTGACTCATTGGTATGTTCTCAGGTGCTGCCAAAGAGCAAGTCACAGGAAAATTTCCAGACAATTAGAACTGGCTCCCTCTTAGAGGAATTTAAATCATCTCTTTCAGTTGGATGAAGTTCATTTACAGGTAGATGTAGATGTAGACATGAATAGCAATGCACCTTTCATAAATGAACACCAATACAAGACTTGTGAAATAATTCTCTCAATTTCTGCCAGAGTGCTCAGGCTCAGGCAAATAGATATGATCGATGATGAAGTGGCTGGCACAAAACTAAGTTGCATGGCAAGACACATTTGACATGTTTGTATATGTGCAATTAAAAGACACAGAATAAACAATGGACACCGCCTTGGTGGTTACAGAGAATTTGTGGTTATAGATGAACGCTGTCTCCGTTGTTACTTTCTGGTCCCGGCAAGTAATCGAACGCAACAAAAGTTTTGCCCCACTCACTTCCCACCCACGCACAAACCCCAACAAAGACACCTTTTTCAAGTATTTAAGCAGCCATTTATTTTCATTGGCAGTGAGCAATGCCAAAACAATAAACAAAACCCCCTAAAACACACTCCCTACACTTCCCTACACAAAAATAAAAACAAAAACAAAAGACAAGTCACTTAACTAACTATCTAACGAAAAACAGGAGAAAACTTGTTCAACAAAAGAAAACGGCTTCTCACGCCTACTAGGCTGCGACAGTGAAAGTTATACAGCAAAGGAACAAAAAGTGACGGCCACTTGTTAACCTATTTACAATTATTTAGATGGCAAGGCTAGAGGTACACGTAAATACTCCAGCCTGCACTACAATAACACAACACACAACTCCGTGATCGAGTCAACGGGGTTCCCAAAAGCGCTGCCAGTGGTCCATCAATTATCCAGTCCGAGGATAGGTAAAGACTCCACCCAGATATCTAGCAGCCACGCCCAGGTGTCCACCTCCTAGGAGAGAGAAAAAAAGAAAAGGGAAAATACCACCAGCAATCCGGTGGGAGGTACAATACCAACAAACACATCACTGGGTCATAACACCGTCATCAGCGAAAGGTTGGTAAACTCTCAGACATGTTTCTTAGAATTAATGCAGATCTGAACACGTCCTCTAAACATGGAAAAAATAAAATTTAACAGATATAAAAATGCATTGCTGTACGTCACTGATCATCAATAAAATAAGATAGAGGGCTTGAACTGTTCTTTTTTTTACATTTGATCTTTTTCAGCTTGTAATTCACATGAGAGAAGGTATAGGACAGAAGACTGCAG